TRGRWTCCRAYAAAAATCGAAGAAAACCCGATTTTAACTACTAACGACATCAATCTAGCTTGGGAAAGAATCAAGAATTCAGCAAGGGAGGCACTTGGAGAACGAACCGTAAAAGTGAACCAAGTAATCAACCACAAGACAGCATGGTTCCGCCCAGAAGTCAAGGAACAGTGCAAAGAAAAAAGAAAAACTTACCTAAAATATTGTACTCTGCTAACAGGAATCATATAACGAATATAAGCAAGTTAGGAACAAAACTAAAGAATGAATGAGAAAAACCAAAAACGATCACTGGGAAATGTTCTCCAAACGCCTGGAAGGTGATTTCTACGGGCTTCAAAAGCAGATGTGGCGGTTCATAAAATCGCACAGAAAGGAGGCCAATGAACTGCTAGAACCAACCCACATAGAAAAGGGTGAATCAAATATTTAACCGATCTATATAAAATGACAAACACCAGAAATAACTATTACCGAAGATGCCAGGATCAATACATCCGTCGTAGAAAACGCACTACAGAAACTAAGAAATAGAAAAAGCGCCGGGCAAGACGGTATATAAAATGAATTGTTCAAATATTTTAATACCGAAAATTATACATCAGCACAAAATCCCAGATGAATGGAGAACTAGCACTACTGTGCTAATGTTCAAAAAAGGGGACAAGAGAATACCATCAAATTATAGAGGAATAAACCTTTTAAGCACGGCCCTAAAACTAACAACTAAAGTAATTACGAACAAAATCAACAATCTTACATCGCTGGTGGACGAATAACAGGGATTCAGATCGGGAAGATCTTGCACAGATGCAGTGTTCGTATTAAGACAGGTATTGGAGAAATCGATTGAACACAACAAGCTCGCTGCTTTGTTGATCTAAATAGAGCATTTGACCGTGTCCAGCAGAAAGACGTCCTGCATCTCCTTTACAACAGGCAAATCCCACACAATCTCATTAAAACCATAGAGAACATATATAGAAACAATAAAATACGAGCACAAATAGAAGACCTCATAGAACCAATACCAGCGGGTAGCGGTATTCGCCAGGGAGACTCCCTGAGTCCCACCCTTTTCAATTTAATAATGGAAGAAATTGTTCGAAGTGTTCGAGGGCTAAAGGGATACAACATGGGGATGCAGAAATCAAAATAGTGTGATATGCTGACGATGCCGCTCTCATTGCAGAAAGTGAAGAAGACTTACAAAGGTTGTTACACTTATTCAACCCGACAGCCAAGTCTCTAAATATGGAAATATCACCGACCAAAACAAAATGCAACATCAAAAAACCCTCTAAGATGCAAACTGGAACTTGACGGTAAAGTAATCGAGCAGAAAATGAAATTTAACTACCTTGGGGTGGATCTCCCGGGCTTTGGTCATATTGAGGCAGATGTGAGAGATCAAACAACAAAATCAATTAGAATAGCAATATGCCTAAATGCAATATGGTGCAACAATAGTATGGAAACAGACACTAAATCGAGGATCTACAAAACAGTCGTGAGGCCGATGATGACATACCGCAGAAACCGTGCCTGAAACAGCGAAAACCAAAAGACTCCTAGAGACAGCTGAGATGAAAATACTCCGTAGAATCACCGGAGACACTGTTGGATAGGGAGAGAAACGAGGATATCAGAACAGCCTATAATGAAGAATATCAATGAATAGGTAGCAAACAGGAAGAAGGAATGGAATCAGGACATATGCAGGATGGACCACCGCCGACTTGTGAGAATCGCTCGCAACAATTGGGACAAAGAGACGCCCCAGGAAGCGATGGAGCGACATCCTTACTCAAGTGAACGATAATTGAACAGGCAATTCGCCTAAAATCAAGAATGAAGAAGAAGGAGAAAATAGCGGACTACCCAGAAATGTCCTTGCAGAAGTACTCGGAGCATTGCACAACAACTGACACTTTACACAGGAAAGGCTAGAAGAAAACTAGGACAGAAAACATTATTTTCTGATGATTTTCTAATTTTCTGACAATAATGGGGTCTTTTCTGCCAAAATTGACAAAATTAATTTTGCTCGAAAATTCGCCTCATTCATCAGTTTACAGGAAACCTTTTACTGCTTCGAATTTGTCACTAAAACCAAATAATTTTCTTTCGCTTTTTACCAAAAGTAAATAGGATTATCTTGAAAAAACGACAAGAGGGCAAAAGTTTAAAAAAAATAATTTGAAAAATGCGCCGCCCTCATCGCTCTGAAGAATTTTAAAGTTCCTTGATATCTTCAGGTCATTCCAGTTTTAACATAGTTTCTATTAAGCAATTCTGTTCACGCAAAAATCGCATTATTTTTTAGTTTTACTTAAAATACTGACAATCTTCAGATTTTCTGTGAAAAATAAGTAATAATGAATAAATAAAAATAATAAGATAAGTAAGTATTGGAACACTCGCCTCCTTAACCGCTTTGCAAAAATATCGTCAGCAAATAATGTTTATAATCATTTATTTGGAGAACTGTTGGAAACTGGGGTCACTTCACTTTTAGGGTCACAACACTGACTCTAAACAGAAAAACCGTGTTTTTCCTAACGTTTTACTGTAAAATACTGGCAACCTGAATATTTTATGCCTAAAAATTATGAGGCCGATTTTACACTGAGAAAAAATGTGGATGACCTTTTTTTTAGATGCGAAAATTCCAGTCTCGGGTCTCGTAAAGCTAGAGTCAGCTCATTAACCGATGAGTCAGAACTCGTTAACTCAGAGAGCGGCAACAACTCAATAGCGCAACTCAACACAGTGTTCCCCAGGCCTAATCTGGATCTTTGAATTTTAAAGACAAAAAGAAAACAAATCTAATAACTAGTAAATAATAAAATATCGTGGAATTCAGGAAGAGTAAGTCTTATAAATAATATCAAAACCCTGTTACCAGGCCAGACGTTTTTTGTTAATAAAAGTTACGTCCCACGTTGGTCCAAGGAATACGCAGTACTCTTTTGATCATATTGTATATATTGAAAATAATACAATTTTGTATTTTTTGCGTGCCCTGCAAGGAAGCCAATTTTGAACCACTCAATATTTTGCGCTCACTCGACAACGCTGCCGAATAAAATCGTTGATCTATTTGTTGTTTACATGTTGCTATGGAGCTATGGTCACCTAGGGAATGACCACCAGCATAGCTACTGAATATTTTCCAAGGGAAAACGCATCGGTCACAACTGAAAAACCTCAAACCTCGTGGAACCATCAGTTTTTCACCGTCCGTTTTACGCGTTTCACCATATTTCGCTTGGGTAAGTTGAAATTGCTTTTTCCTTCCTTCTAATTGTTGATATTTACGTAGAAAGTCCACTGTAGCCAAAACAATTCGATCAATATATCAATCTGGGTACACATTCGCATCAGCAGTCATTTGGTTGAATGGGGGCAACTGGCACACAAGTTTGATTAATCGGCTTTTGCTTCTGAAATTCACCTGTTCCACTTATTTGAGCGCCCGGATGTGCTACAAACAATATTTCTTGCAAATTGGTGAAATCAGCTAGTGCATTGTTCGCACTTGAAACAATACGCATTGTAATTGGCATATCCGTGCTAAAAAATCGAGTGGTCACGAGTTATTCTATACTATACAGAGTGATCCAAATTGGCGCCATTCCATTTAAGGGGTTATAGGGGCTAGATAGCTTTTGTCGAGAATAACCAGCATTTCTCAAATTGGCACTCAGCTTCAATATTTTTCACAAAATTGGCGCAGGTAGTGGACGACCAAGAGGTGTTCGGGTTCCAGACATTCGAGATAATTGCAACCGAGCCTTCCCCCAAACAGTACAAAGACATCTTAAAGACGTCTTAATATGTCTAATTCAGATATGTGAGACGTCTGTCTATGTCTTCTAGACGTCTGTTGTTACAAATATGGACGTCTTGACCCCGATAGCACACAAATATTATAGTAATATTTTTTTTGAAATATTTTTGGTAGATCTGACCCGACAGATCTTAAATATTTAAGAAATATTTATTTGACATTTTACTCAGATATTAAAAAAATATATTTTTTAAATATTTATTTGACATTTAAATTTGATATTTGTTTCATTAATATTAATTAACAATTTTATTAGATTTTTTTCAATGTCTACCACCCACCCCTTGGGCATTCATGCAGGTCGATTTTTTAAATAGTGCAATATTTTTGTCAACTCGATGATACTTTTTGATCTGCACTTGCTCGGCTGGGGATTCGAATCTCGGACCTTCAAGTTGGTAGTCCGTAGGTCCGACCCCTCGGCCATCATGGCCGCTAATTTTGACTTATTTTTCTGGCTGTGTGTAATGATTATTATAATTTTCCTTCCTAGGTTTCAGTCAAAATGTGAAATAAAAATGTTCATATCGTCTATTTCATATAACGTTTGGGCGAGACAACAGCGCCATCATCAGATTAAGATTCAAAACAAACCCATAATAGGGAAACATTTGATTCCTTATAGGCTTAGCTGTCTTCAAAATTTCATATTTGTTTGAATTACTCTAATTCAGTTAAGTAATACCGTTATATGAAATAGACGATATTTTTATTTATTTTTGACAAATTTTGTTAGTCTGGTTTAATAAACACTATATTTTCAGCATTTAATAAGGGTCTCAGGTTTTAGTAGTAAAAGCGAATTTATTTCTACGTTCCCTTACCCAATTTACTCTTGGCAAATTTTTGTATATACCGTGGATATACATTAAATATTACAAACAAATATTTCTTTATAGTATTTAAAAATATTTATTTTTGCTATGAAATATTTACCATTAATTGACTAATGAAAATTGAGATAATATGTTCTAAAGTTTGTTCACACTTATTAAAAATAATATATTAGTAACTTTTTGGGTGTTAATGGTGTTACATATAGATACAAAAAATATTATGTACTAAGAAAAAATATTATTAATTTATTTGTTTCATGCTAATTAAATATTGAAAACAAATATTTCAAATATTTTTTTATAATATTTAAAAAATATTTCCTTTTGCTATGAAATATTTACCAAACATATAAATATTTGGTAAATATTTAGTAAATATTTATGTAATATTTTGTGCTATCTGGGGAAGAGATGTCTTAAAGACGTCTTGAAGAGACTAAGTGTTAGGAATATTCTATGGGAAATTCCCTATTGGGAATGTAAAATAAAATAACATGTTTTTATTTAATAATTTTTTTGTATTTTGCCTATCAAATACAAACTATTTTGTTAGCAGCTAATTTCGTTAAAGGTTTACTACAACACCATAATAACAAGATTTTTTAGTAACACCCAAGCAAACCATGTGCATATAGACTAACGGAAAAGATTTGGCCATGTCAAGTTTGGGTAGTTTTTTCTAAAATTGGCTTCCCAGTATGATGGTTGTCATCTGTTTTTTGTCGGAAGTCACAATCTGTCCTTATACGTAGGTTATGGATGTTAGAAAAATACACTCTGTCAGAGTAATTTCCTTCAACATTACATTTTGAACAGGAAGAATAGCCAGAATGACCTTTAATATATTTTACATATGATTTTGCAGGAGCGTCACCAATAATTGCTTTGATATATACTGCAAAATTTTTGTTTCGATACAAGAAACCTTGATTGATAACTGCAGTTGCATCGTGCACAAAGTCGGACAAAAATGCATTGGCGTGTTGTGGCTTCTGATTGCCATGGTATATACCCATCGTTTCTACAATGTTTTTATATGCTAGAAATGCTGGCTAATATTGTATATACCTGACTGGATGAACCTTTAGCAAGTGACAATCCGTCAATATTTATAAGAAGACCTACTGAATTATGCTAGGTGTTAATTGAGTTTTGGCCTAAACTGTTCAAAATACTGTTGAGGCACTTATTTAGCCCAAAATGGTAATAGTGTCCGGGCATCACTGATTTTAGTTCAACAGACCTGACTGTTTGAAGCAAGGTTCTTGCATCCAAAGGCAACTCTTTACAAATAGGTTGTACTAGTTTTAATAAGTAATTTAAAGCAGTATGGGCTATGTTGTGCTTCATTGCCCATTCTGCCAACTTTGCTTCAAATGAGTTATTATTACTACTACTACTGGAAAAACTATCATAAGTGGGATAACCTTCAAACACATTGTCGTCTGCTATGGAATCAATATCCGAATTATGGCATAAAAACTCACTATTTCATTGACATTAAGATTCAGTGATTGGTTCACTTGTTGTACCTGCAACGTTGAGTTGTTTGAGCTGCACCCAGGCTGTGAAACTGAAACGAATTGTAAAGTTTCTGTCTTTCGGTGGCTCTCGTGGCCCTCATATAATGTTTATTTAGCTTACCACTTGCACATGTTCGGTTCTGTATAAACCGTAAATTTACAAATTTTAAAAAAGCTAAACAGCTACACACAGTGTATAACTAACCACAATAGACGATTTAATAAAATAAGTTAAATGTTTTCACTGCAATCGGATGCACTCGAGCAAGTTCGTCAAAACGTTTTGTAGTAGACATTTAAAAGTCGTCTTAAAGACGTCTTGTGATCTTTAAGATGTCATAAAGCCGTCCGGTGTCAGGCATTTACAAGATATCTTGTAGTAGACATTTTTAAGATGTCTTAAAGACATATTCAAGAGACATACGACGTTCACACGTAATAACGGCATACAGAAGACGTCTTGTGCTGTCTGGGCCAGGAGTGCTCGGAGCATTACATAACAACCGACACTTGGGGACTACATTCCTACCATGTATGTAAAATACACAAGACACCAGGACATTATTTCTCTGGCCGACCGAACACCGATACAAATTGAGCAGGAGTTTATTAACCGAATATCATATACCATATAGAACCTGCCCAAAATGGAAGCCCAGTAATGCGCGAAGAATGTATAATAACGTGATTGCACGGGCACAAACATCTTCGGAGTTTAACGGGCAGAACATCGAATAGATCATTGATCCATAACCGTTTACAAGAGGTTTTTGTTGACGTCCCTCACCCTAACCTATTTTATTTCATTTCCACCTCACTTTCTGTGTTGATCTATGGTTACTTGAGCTTTTGATATTAAAGAAACAACAGGTATTTAAGTTAGGTTAATGGGGCCTTGATACATTGTTGCCGTTCTTCTGATTTAGAAGATCTAAGCAAAACTGATGTATTTGTGAAAAAATATTTTTGCAAATATCTCAGTTTTTGACAAGAACCAATTTCTTTTACTATTTTTCCTGTACTCCCTAAACACCTCCAGACAACACCCCCAGAGGAGTGACGAACATTTTTAAGCATCGCATTTCTTGATGTTTGCTTGGACCAAACCCTTGCTTTTGTGGCGCTACATTCAAACAGACATTTTTATTCCCAAATATACGAGGCGATTCAAAATTGGGGACATTCCTCTGGAGGTGTTATCTGGCGGTTTTTCAGGAGTACAGAAAAATAGTGAAAAAATTAATTGTTAATAAAAACTTTTTAGATTTGCAAAAAACTATATTAGAAAGACGGCAACAATGTTTTTCAAGGTAATCTACCCAATTAGCATTACGCTAAAACCTGTTGTTTTGTAATTATTAAAAATAATCGTAATTTTTCTTTTTGAATGCTTAATTATTCTAATATGCTACCAATTAAACATGGAACACTTTCAAAATAATGCTTAATAACAAAGTTGAAATTCGATTTTCAACTCTTAGTATCTTCTAGAAATTATCGAAAAAAAAATGTCAATATTTTTCTAGCACTCTCCAAGTGAGCCTCTGTTACCCTTTGAAAGGAATGACGCTATTTTTGAATCACTCTGTATGTACCGTTTTTATCGTCCGTTTTGTTATTTTTTGATGTTTTAGGTTCAGGACATCTGCTGGCTCTTCCCTTACACACAAATAGTGTGAAAATGTGATACAAATTTTGCTTTTGCTTCTTTCCTTTCGCGCCGCTCATCGTTCTACCAATAATTAATAAAATTTGGTATATTTTTTTCTAATTTAACCTCAATCTGAGGATTTGCAGTCGTGGCCCTCAGCAATAGGGTGTTTCACTTTTGTTTAAATGTTGATATATAGAAAGTAGTTATGTCAAACATTACACTGATATAAATTTTTTTGCAAAAAATGTCTCCATAATAATTTTAAAGCGAATTCAAACTCAAATTAGATATTTTCCGCCAAAAACGCGGAATCCGTATCGTTGGTTGCCTATCCCGATTGTGACGTAGCAGGTCATGTCAACAAAGTGTCTCTTGTTTATTTTGTTGTTTTCGCAGCCTTGTTTTATTA